GTGTTGTTCAGCATGGGGGTGAGTTGAAAAGGAAGGCTAATCATGTTTTGGGTGTACTATTCCTTTAAGCCAGAATGTTTATATTTAAATATGATTTCCCTACTTTAAACAACACCGGTTTATTTATTCACTTCCATGTTTTGGACCTTTGCAGAAACTCACATCTGGAGGGAGTTGTTTCTTGCATTGATGAGGGAGGAGTCAGAGATCTCACCGAGGATCAACAAAGCACACATTTCATGACCCTGCAGAGTGAAGCACATCGTTAAGGTTGGTCACATTGATCAGTGACCATGGCATTAGGCTGCACTCCAACCATAGAGAAGTAATAATAATAGTACTAATAGTTAGTAACCTTGCTGCAGGCTAAGTGAAGTGCTGTGTTATTATTGACGTCCACCAGGGTCAGGTCCGGCTTCGCTTTGAGCAGCAGGAACTCTAAAAAAGATACTAATTTCATTACAAGCATCTGCCTGCTGTTTCTCAGCAGGATGTAAAACAATCTATAACCAAAGAAAGTGAGGATCAAAACTACACAAACCAAGCGTTTGCAAAAAAGAACTTAACCCGAGCCTAAACGGGTTTTGGTCAGCCTCAAGGTTTCAGTAAAAAACACAGACTTCCCAAGTTTCAGTTACCTACCGACAGCTGCCGTCTGTCCGCAGTCGGCTGCTACCATCACAGCAGAGCATCCAAAGTGATCGACAGCATTGACCTGCGCTCCGTGGGCCAGAACCAGCCGGAGCCCGGCGACGCTTCCTGAATAAGCAGCTGCATGCAGCGGCGTCCTGAACCACAGGATATCAAATCACTCAAACACAGCAGGACAAACACAAATCTAATCAAACATCTGGAAACATCTGCTAAATACAGTCACTACAGTAACATTTTCTGACTTAAGAGTGTAAGAATAGGATTTATGCATTTTATTACATAGCGATTTTAAAACTCAAATATATTTTATTGTGATTTTAACAAACTCTGAAAAGTGAGCTTCCTTTTGCAGCGACTACAGCCTAAGGTCTTTAAAGATCTGTCTAGACACTGTAGGCTGGTTTATGCTTAATGCATCTATGACCTGGGCTGCTCAGTGGCGCAGTGGGTAGCATTGCTGCGTTGCAGCAAGAAGGTTACGGGTCTGATTCCCAGCTCTGGGTCTTTCTGCAAGGAGTTTGCATGTTCTCACTGAGCATGTGTGGGTTCTCTCTGGGTATTCTGGCTTCCTCCAACAGTCCAAAAACATGACTGTTAGGTTAATAGGCTTCTCTAAATTCTCCTTAGGTGTTAATGATTGTTTGTCTTGATGTTGCCGTGTGATGGACTGGCGAGCTGTTCAGGGTGTACCCCGCCTCTCACCCATAGACTGCTGGAGATAGGCACCAGCACCCCTTGTGACCCCAGCTGGGATAAAGGGTGACGGAAAATGAATGAAAGCATCTATGTTCCATGCAGAACGTTGCTGAAACAGCCCATGCAGCTTTTATGAGGCTTTTCCTGCTGTACCTAATTTTCTGAGTCTGTCTGCCCATAATGGTGATATAAATGTATAAATGTATCATAAAATAAATGTATGTATCAATCTAATACCCGATTCCAATCTACAGATGAATTTTAAAATGCACAGCTGAATTAAATGTCTCCTTAAATAACTAAAAATGCTTTAAAATGATGAATTAGTTTATTAAATAAAAAAATGTAAAAAATTAGAAATAGAGCGTAGTAATTCTGTTTTTTTTTTTAGTCGCCATTCTGCTAAATTGTTATTTCTGGGCGACGTCATTTGGCAGCATGTCCCCATGGTGACCTCGCAGACCCCTAAACTATGAACCAGCCTTGGTTGGATTGTTTGAAGGCGTCAACACCGGTTTATAAATCTTGAAGACAAATTAGATTAAAGTTGTGACTTTGACCGGATCAGTTAATGTGTTCTGATCCCCCGATGCTGCAGATTTATGGCCGATTATGCCTCCTAATGACTTTTGCAGCCATCTTCCTGTTGCTTCTGACCAGACCTCTTGCTACTGTTTAAGAAAAGCATCCTCACAGCATAATGCTGCCATCGTCATGTTTCAACAGCAGGGATAAAGGGTACATGGTGATGTTTAGATTTGGTTTTCCTCCAAATGTTACACTGCAAATAAAAAAATCTATAAATAAGTAAACATTTCTTAAATGTGTATTTACCCTAAATTTGAGTGGGTGAATGAGATTATTTGAAAAAGAGAATGAACATTTTAACTCTTAAAATAAGATAATTAGAAAATAAGTACTTGAAATAAGACAATGCAATTATTTTTCTTATTTTAAATGTAAATTGTCTTGTTCGATTGGCAAAAGTGTGAAATAAAGCATTTTTGATGTGAACATTGAACGCACCGTCCTTTGGCATCATTAGTGAAGACAATATGAGAGCCAATAGTCTTTACTAAAAGCTCAGCAGCAGCATCATGTCCATTGATTCTGTGGGAAAAGCAAAGTGGGTGTTAAAAAGAACAAGAACTACTCTGATCTAATCAGAATGAATGCAGATACGTAAACATTTGCACGTATTTAGGGTGTATTGTGATGCTCACAAAGCACAGTGCAGTGGAGTGAAGGGATTTCCTTCCTGGTTGCTATAAAGTTTGTTCTCAAGTAAAATGTGTAAACATCCTTCATGACCTGAAGAAGAAAACAGGAACAAAACGGTGATTGTTAGTATTCTATATGCAGTCTTGTCATTTTTGTTCATTTAATGGTTAAAATAAACTGCTTTAGTTAAGAAATGTAAAAATCTAACCGTGGTAAGCAGCCCAGTGTGTGGGTGTGTAGCCCCTGAAGTCTAAAATGGAGTCCAGAGGATCAGCTTTTTTTGCAGCGTTCAGCAGCATGTGGAGCAGCTTTGTGTGGCCACAGGATGCAGCGAGGTGGAGCGCCGTCTTTCCCTGAGAGTCTCTGCACAGGACAGAAGCCCCATGTTCCAGCAGAGCCAGAACGGCGTCTTCAGCGCCCAACATAGCCTGCAAAACCCAGAGGTTACAAGTAACGAAGTACAAATACTTTGTTACTGTACTTAAGTACACTTTTTAGGTATCTATACTTTACTCCAGTACTTATTTTTGTTCCTACTTCTGACTTCTACTCATTACATTTTAACACAAGTATCTTTTCTTTCTATTCCTTAAATTTTTAAAACAAACGTTACTCATTCCTCTTGGCTTCGGTTTAATGTTTATAAATATTTATTTCACGTCATGTACGCCATCCAATGCAGATCATTGACTCCATCCACATCTAGTGAAAACTAGTGTAATTAGATGGGTAATATAACGCAAACACTCATTGGTTAGATAAAGGAAATCATCAGAAGCAAGCAGGTGTTCTTCAAACTGCAAACGTGAATTGTCTATGCCACGCTACAATGTTGAATTCAGAAAAAGATGTTGAAATGTCTGAGAGGTCGGACACAGGCCAGAGCGTATCAGGAGATGGAGACCAACAAGACCTCCCTCATCCTTGGCTCTATCTCAAAGAATTTTTAAAATAGTTGAAAAATTGAGCTTTCAATTCATATAGTGGCATCTGGCTGTTTTTTTTTTTAAGGTTACTTTATACTTTTATACTTTAAGTAGTTTTTGGAGCACATACTTTTTCACTTTTACTTGAGTAAAGAGGTCAAGTTGATACTTCAACTTAGTGTTTTTAAACAGCAGTATCTATACTTCTACTTAAGTAACAAGTGTGTGTACTTTTGACACCACTGGCAAACCCTCCGGGGTAAGCTAGTTTCAGTCGCAGGTAAAAACAGTGATGTGCATCGACTCACGGCTCTGTGCAGGGCAGTAAAGCCTTGTTTATCGGCAGTATCCGGATTTGCGTTTTTCTCCAACAGGATGTGGACACAGTCGGTGTGACGCCCCAAAGCGGCCAGGATGAGAGCCGTCCTGAGAAACAGGATTCAATAATAAAACTTGAAATCTAATTTCTTTTCTTTCACATCAAGGAAACATTTGAAATTTAAACAAATTGTTTTTTAGCTGTAAATATAAAAATGAACATGCTTGTGTTGAAAATGAAAGGAAGTGACTTACTGCCCCTGTGCGTCCTGACAGTCAATGATGGCAGCACTCTGTTCCCTGTTGACCAGTAAAAGCAGACAGTCCACTCTGCCCTCAGCAGCTGATCCAGTCAAGAAGAAAGAGGATTCTGGATTTTAGAGACTAGAAGCTGCTTAAAAACAGAAAGCCGTAGTGTGATCCTTACGCACCTGCAGAATGCAGAGCGGTCCTCCTCTGCTTATACTCCTTCAGGGTGTAGGAAGCTTGATGCTCCAGCAGGACCTCCACACATTTAGAAAAGCCTCTCTTTGCAGCGAGGTGAAGCGCAGTTTGGCCGTCAATGTCCCGCACATCTAGGCTAACCAAAGTCTCGCAAAGCAAACCCAGCGCATCGCAGTGCCCATAATACGCCTGCAGGAGTTAGGGGGTCAGCATATAAACCAAAAGCCTCCACAGAAGGATTTACAGCTGCATACTTACGGCCAGGTGCAGAGGACTGACTGGAATATTACTTTCTACCTCTTCGAGACAATTAAAAGAAATCTCCAAGAGCTGCAGGGAGTAATAAAAAAAACATTAGTAGTCATTGCAGGCAGAGTAATGCAGATTAGAGATGCAAAGATCCAGAACTGACCAGTTCTAGATGCTGTTTGTTCCCATAAGCTGCTGCATAGTGGACGGCACTGTAACCTCTGCTGTTCTTCAGAGTTGGATTTGCTCCATTGTCCAGCAAGAAGTCTAAACACCTGAAATTAGCAAGAGGAATGTGAGGTTACAGATTATACTGTCTTGGAGAAAAATAATAAAACAGTCAAAATTTGCCAAGAAACAGTTTCTTTTAAAAGACCTTTCTGTCTTTAAATCTGAGAGAGAGAGAGGAAAATTAAAAAAATAAATAAATAAGTGATAAATATTCCATATAGTCCATTTCCCCATTAAATAAAACAGAACATATCTTTAAAAAAGGAATTTTTTGGTTATTTTGATTTGTGAGATTGCAAGACTTATTTATGAATTACTATATATATATATATATATATATATATATATATATATATATATATACAC